TCTTTTCAGAACACCCCAAATCCGTTAACTTTGTGCATTTTCATCCGCTCTCCCCCGATTCAGTCGCCTCATCCTCGGAACTCTTGTCCCCTGCAGAAATAAAACCCCCCTCCTTGATGTTTTCCATGTGCAGGCTGCTGTAATTACAGGTTTGGATTCCTGTGGGGACGGATTGTATCGAGCTGATCCGAGTGCTGGTGCCCCTGGATCGGGTTTTGGGGCTGGTGATTAAAATAAAATATAATGGCTGGGTGGGAGGGAGGATGGGCTTGGCCACGTTCCACTTCATCCCAGAACAGTGTTTGAAAGGCTTTTGTCCACATCTGCTGCTTCTGCCGAGTGCTCTCCCAGGTTTCATCCCACCAGGAGTGTTCCCTCTTCCACGTGCTGGCTGTTCAGAAATTGTAGAATTTCTCAAAGTTGGTTATTTTACCGTTTTTTGGGTAAAATAACCCTTTTATTTGTTACTAAGCTCTTCACCCCGGGGCCTGTGTAGCTGCATAACCTTCAGTGGGATTAGTAAAAGAGCCATTTTTACCAGCAGTGGTTATTTTTGTTGAAATAAGGTGGAGGATGATGAAGGTTAACAGTGCTCTTGCTCCACAGACATTCCTTCCAGGATAACTCCCTTATCCTTATCAGCATCCTGATTCAAAGGGTTCCTGTGGAACTGGTGGTTGGAGTAGAAAGCAAAGGAGCAGGTGAAGCTTCTCCATGATTTAATACCTGTCCCTGGTGCCTGGGTGCCTTTCCAGTGGCCCAAAGGAAATGGGAGTGGTGAGGAATTCCGGGAGCAGAGCTGGCTGGCAGGAGTGCCCCTGGAGGCTCTGTGAGCTGGGTGAATGTTCTGGGAAAGGATGGATTTGGGAGGGAGAGCCCATAAATCCCTCACCTCTGTCACCCTCACACCTCTCCAGGAACGGGAATTTGCTCAGTTCCCTGCACAACAGGATTCCCAGCAGATCCCTCTCTAATCCAGGTCTATAAATACCCTTGGGTTGCTTCCCTGCTTTCCGTGGCGCTGATGGGACCTCGTCAGGAGCAGCTTTTTGTGGAATTCAAAGGCTTTTCAGTTTTCCACCCGCAGTGGAGCTGCTGCTCCTCTCTTGGCAGGTTTGTGGGTGCAGCTGAGCCTTCACCCCGTGCTCGGAGCGAGGGTGACTCTGCCCTGGCACAGGTTGCCCAGAGAAGCTGTGGCTGCCCCATCCCTGGAAGTGTCCCAGGCCAGGTTGGACAAGGCTTGGAGCATCCTGGGCTAGTGGAAGGTCTCCCTGCCCGTGGCACAGGGTGGGACTGGATGGGCTCCTTCCAACCCAACCCATCCTGTGATTCCGTGATTCCCAGCGTGGTTTTTATGGAAGGTGTGTGCCTGTGACCCTGGGCTGTAACCTTCCATCACCTGAGGGTGTAAATCCAGGGCTGGGGGTTCAGAACAGGCAGGAAAAGGCTCCGTTAAACCCCAACAAACCACACCTGATTTTGTGGTAATTCCCAGCGATTTTCCTGGTTTATTCCAGCGTGGGAGGCTGTGTGGGGGCAGCACTGCCTGGGCTCAGCTGGGCAGGGGTGGTGCTGGGCCGTGTCCCCTGGGACTGTGTCCTTGTGCTCACGGACAGGCAGCGAGTCCTGCGGGCGAGTTCAGCTCTGCAGAGTTGTCTCCTGGCACGGAGCTCCCGCTCCCAGCTGGGTCGGGGGGCCGGGGGCTGGGACACAACGATGCTTCAGCCTCGGGGAGGGAGCCCGGGCGTGGCTGCCGACCTGCTGCTGCCTTTGCCGTGGGCTCTGGGAGTGGTTATTTACATTTCAATGTGTTCAGATCCTGCCTTTGGGGTTTATCTAACAGGGATTTTTTGGGCGGGCGGGGGAGCGAAGTGCTGAAGGTGCTCCAAGGATGATGCAGGTGGCACTTTTTCCAAGCTCATCCATGGAGTTTCTATGTGAGATATCAAAGAACCCCCCCAGTTTGTATGAACCCAAAGCAGTCTGGCTTGGCTGTGTTTGGTTCCCCGTGTCCTCTCCTCGGGCTGTGGGTGCAGCAGCTCCCCCCACGCTCCGGCTTCAAGGAGGGGGGTGAGGTGGATCATCCAACCCCCCCCTGGATGAAGGGTCTGGGAATCCCGTGCCTGCCTGGCAGCTGAGGGGTTTTGCTCTCAGCAGTTGCCTCTGGATTCCAGCCCGGAGAGAGGGTTGAGAGGAAAGGGAACAAACCCCTCTCTGTTCCAGGGCTGGTGGGATTGATGCCTCAGGGAGTGAGGGAGTCTAGTGGGTGTCTGATCGCTGCAGATTCCTTGGGAAGGGTGACAGGACTGAATGTTTTACGTGTTGCCTTGCTGGTGTCTGTGTTTGTGACAGCCAGGTCAGGGCCCTGAGGGTGCTCAGAAGCTGCAGGTGGAATTGTGGAATAGAATCATGGAACATCCTGAGCTGGAAGGGACCCACAAGGACCATCCAGTCCAACTCCTGGCCCTGCACAGACACCCCAGCAATCCCACCCTGTGCCCCAGAGGATCATCCAAACCCTCCTGGAGCTCTGGCAGCCTTGGGGCCGTGCCCATGGCCCTGGAGAGCCTGGTCAGTGCCCACCACCCTCTGGGGGAAGAACCTTTTCCTGAGATCCAACCTGACCCTCCCCTGGCACAGCTCCAGCGCTTCCCTCGGGTCCCAGAGCGCAGAGATCAGAGCTGCCCCTCGGGAGGAACCTGCAGACCCCCCATGAATCTCCTCTGCTCCAGCTGAACAATCCCTGGATTCCCTCAGCTGCTCCCTGTGAGGCCCCTCCAGGCCCTTCCCCTCCCCTGTATTCTAGGGCCGGAGCTGATTCCCAGAGGTGCCATCCCTGTACCTACAGCCCCTGTGTCAGGGCACTCCTGGGGTCTCCTCCCAGGGCAGGGGGGCCTCCATTCACCTCCCTTTGCACCCCAGCCCTGACAGGGCTCCCCTGTGTGTGGCTCTGTCACCGCAGAGGCTCCTCCAGGTGCCCTTGGAGGGGTTTTTTGCCCCCCTGGGCAGGGGATGGAGGGGACGCATTTCCAATCTGAGCTCTGCTTCCCCTCCTCCGTGGCAGCAGCAGTGTGAGCACAGCTGAGCCCACTGCCTGCAGCTCCCAGAGCCTGGGGGAGCAAAGGGATGAGTGTTCCCAGCTCCCAGAGCCTGGGGGGAGCCAAGGGATGAGTGTTCCCAGCTCCCAGAGCCTGGGGGGAGCCAAGGGATGAGTGTTCCCAGCTCCCAGCGGTGCCGCTTCCTGCCCTGCCGGCCCCTCGGCAGGGGAACCACGGCGGAGCCATAACAGGAACAAGCAAACATCCCGCTCTTCCTGGTGACTGGAAGGGCTCTGCTGGCTCCCAACGCTGCTCCCCGGGGTGGGTTTTGCTGTTAATGATTACCCAGGGAGCAGTTCCCTCTGGAAGCGGCTCCCGGCCCAGCTGGCAGCAGCTGGTTTGGTGCTGTTGCCATGAAAACGGGCAGAGCGGCTCTGGCAGTGCCCTGTGGCCTCCTGCAGCACCAGCTGAGGTTACCTGGTGGGCTTTGTCAGCCCTGAGGGAAACCCAAGCTTGAGAAAAGCTCAAATAACAGACATTTCTTTTCTCTTCCCTCCTCCCCGTGTGATTAAACCTGTTCAGGTTGTGGTGTGGGTCGGGTGTTTCTCTTCCAGTGGTGAGGGTTTTACCCAGGGTCTCCCGGCCTTGCAGGGGCTGCCTGGCTGCTGGCAGAGCTGAGGTGACTCGCCTGGCACCAGGAATCAAATCCCAGAGTCGTCTCTGGAGCCTGGGACGCGAGGCAGTGGAAACACAAACCCAGATATCCAAGCAGGATATTTACCCTCGGGTCAATGACAAAGCTCTGCTGACGTCGGTGGAGCTGGGTTTTATCAGAGGTGTTTTCCAAGGGATAAGTGAAGCGTTGGGAAGGTTCCTGAAGGAAGGTTTGTCAGGGAACCGGAGCTCCGGCACCGGGTCCTTGGCCCCAAAGTTGTGCTTAAAACAAAACGAGGAACTGCTGAGGTATAAAACCTGTTGAGGGCAGTGTTAGGGCTGCAGCTGCACTCAGGATGTGGGGAAAACACTGGGATCTTTGCACATCCACTTTGTTCGTGGGGCTGCAGCCAACCCCTCCCTGAGATTTCCTTGGTTTCCTTCTGGTTCTGCTGTGCTGGGTCCCCATCCTGCATTTTTCCCTTGCAGATGTCGTTCTCTGCCACCTGACAAAGGAATATAATGCAGCAATTTTCCTAACCTAACTAGTGGTTCTGACTGCCTGTATTTCCAGCTCCCCTGGAACTGGAATTAATTTAGTGTGTGGGCTTCTTAATTGGCTCGTTGTGGGGAGGAACAGAAAATGAAATGCTGCAGCTCTGCCTTCCTCTTCCCTTTCTTCAGTTAAATCTTTGTCATTCTTTGTGTCTCTGACTTCCATTAGTTGCTCAGGCTATTTTTCTCTGGTTTCTTTTGTTGTAGCTTCCATCTCTCAGCCTCAGGAATATCTGAGGCACGGATGGAGCTGCTCCCATGCCTTTGGAGCAGCGCTGCTGTCAGCCCGTGACAGATCACATGTGATTGATGGCTGACGAGGCATCTGGAATATCTCTCCATTCTTTGTGTGCCTGATGCTGTTTTTCCCTGTGCCTGGGGAGGCAGGAGGGGATGGCATCCCTTGTTCCAATGGAGCCATCTTCAGACTCGGATGTGGAATTGCACGGAGCGCGGGCAGGTGTCAGCCCTGGCTCCAGCTGCTCCTCACTGACATCCCTCGTGTCACTGGTGACTTTAAGCAGCTCTGGAATGGCCTGGCCTGGTTTCCAGCAGGGACAAACCAGAGCCTGTGTGTGTGTCGGGGTCAGAAGGGGCTTTGCAGCCTCAGGGGTGCTCCGGCTGCTTCCAGGAAAAGGGAAATGGGGAAAAGGCATGAGGTGCTTCAGCTGCTGGGATCAAACCTGGTGTTTGGAGGAGCTGGAGGTCCCTGCAGGAGCCCTTTGAGTGCTGAGAACTCTCTCCATTTCCTTTTTTAGGAGCTCTGTCCTTTGCCCAAGGCAGCGAGTGCCCCTGGCTGTGCTGGAGGAGCGTGCCCGCCTGCCCAGGTACGTGGTCAGCAGCACCCACAGAGCACCCACAGCTGCTGTTCCCCACCTCTGAACCCCCATTCCCCAGCCAGGGGTGTCATGGAATCACAGAATTTGGGTTGGAAGGGAACCTTAAAGCCCCTGCAGTCCCACCCCCTTCCCATGGGCAGGGACACCTTCCATGGACCAGGTGGCTCCAAGCCCTGTCCAACCTGGCCTTGGACACTTCCAGGGATGGGGCAGTGCCAGTGCTTGGCACCAGGGGACAGGAGATGGTGACCAAGGTGGGGTGGCAAGTGCCCAAAATCACTCCAGTGTGGGTCACCCGGGACGTGGAGCTGCTGCCCGTGCATTGGAATGGTTTTTCTGAATTACATTATTTTTCCTGTTGTCGTGTGATTTGGAACTGGCTGATCTTTAAGGTCCCTTCCAACCCACCCCCCTCTGGGATGTCACAGTGTCCCCCCCCCTCAGATGGCTCAGTGTCCTCCCAGGCAGGCCCTGCTGTGCTGTGCATCAGCTGATCTACAGCTGCAGGCTCAAAAACATGGAAGTTTTGGTAGGATGACACAAAGGTACCTTCAAGGTTGTTAGTCCAGCTGACCTACCTCAGGAGCAGCTCTTCCAAAGGTGTCCCATTCCCTCCTCACGGGAGTCACCAGGCAGGGCAGCATTGCCAGAGTTCCTTGTTGGCTCCGACTGGGGCTGGAATCATTTTTTTTAGGAGATCCCAGCAGCGTGTTGGTCCTCAGTCCTTCCCTGGGGCTGGATTTGGAGTCTCCAAGAGAGGGCAGTGTGTCCCTGGCAGCCAGACCTGCCGTGTGCTCCGAGCAGAGCGCTGAGCCTGGAACTCCTCATCCCGAGCTGAGTAATTAGTGACAGACTCATTAGCGGCTGCTCTCGGGGGCTGGACGTGGCTGGGTGAGGGTTGGTCCTTTCCCCAGCCCCGGCAGGGATTTGGCAGCGCTTCCTCCTGCCTCGTTTTTCCCAAAAAAAACCCGTCCCCTCCGTGTCCCTCGTGCGTCACTTCGCCCCACTTTGTGCTCTTGGCGCGTCCTCCGCGAGGGGACGGATGTGGATGTGGATGTGGATGTGGATGTGGATGTGGATGTGGATG